TATTCGTGGTGGAATTCAAGCGTGATAGTACGATTTCTTTATATTTGGCTAGAAAACCACAAGTGGCTATGTTTAGAGTACTCCAGCATTTAAATGTTAATCTATCTTTTGTGTCTCATACCATCGCTCGTTACCGTGATACTGGTAGCGTAGCCCGACGTCAAGGAAGTGGACGGAAGAAAACAGCAACATCAACAGAAATGGTTCGAAAAGTGCAAAAGCGACTTGATCGAACCCCGCGTCGCAGTGGCCGAAAATGGCCCGTGAGCTGAACATATCGCAATATTCCATTCGGCAAATATTGAAAAATGAGCTTTGGGTAAAGCCATTGAAATTCCAAAAAGGGCAAGAACTTACACCGCAACAGAACGAAAATAGACTCAAAAGAGCTAAAGAGTTGCTTCGCTTGATCGAAAGTGGTAAACTCCCGAATTTGGTTTTCTCCGATGTGAAAACATTCGTTGTCCAGCTGTTGGTAAACAAACAAAATGATTGTTTTTACTTACCAAAGAGGTCAGCTGAAAATGTGCACCTTCGGTTGACCACCAGAACTCAAGCGCCGACCATGGTGATGGTGTGGGCCGCCATAACAGCCGATGGTCGCTCTCCGCTCGCATTAATCGACCGTGGCATCACAATAAATGCCGAATATTATCGCGAAAATATTCTGGAGGGTGCCGCAAAACTTGGACATTCCAACAGGACTCAGCACCATCGCACTCAGCAAGCGTCACCCAAGAATGGTTACAAAATCAGGTTCCTCGCTTTATTTCCAGCGAACAATGGCCACCAAAATCTCCGGATACCAATCCGTTGAACTATTGTGTCTGGAGTATTTTGGAAAGCAAAGTTGGCACTAAAAAAGACCAAAGTGTCGATCACCTCAACAAAGCGCTTTGCCGGGAAAGGGCCAAAATACAACATTCGGGCAGCGTGTGACGGTTACAAGGTCATAATTCGTGCCAAAGGTGACCAATTCGAACAAATCTAAACTTATTCTAAAATTTGATGCTAATTCCGACATTTTTTGATTTCATTCAATTAAATTTAAAAAAAAATGTAAAAATTATGGCGTTTGACTTTGTTGCAGTTTTTTTAACTTATCCTGTATATGTTTTTAATATAATCCTTCTCGAAGTGATATCATGCACTTTATAGCAATGTTATTTGGTATAAAAGATAAAAATATCTCCGTCAAATTTAGTGAAAATCGATTCAGAATTGGATATGCCTCCCATATATTAGTTCCCTCTGAAACCAAATTATAACTGCCCTCAAGCCAAATATTGATAAGTGGTATGATCAACTTCAAATAAATTCTTTTGTTACGGGAGCTCTACTAAATATGCATAGTGGTGTAGGGTATCATACAGTCGGCTCCGACCGACTTTTGACTTTTCCTTACTGGTTTATATATATCGAAGACCTACAAAGGGTGTTCAACGTTAGAGACATTTAAATATTACTAAAAAAACTCAAAAAGGTAGCAATAGTAAAATTGTGTCAGATGTTGCATTTTTCTCTCAAGTGGCATCTCTACATTCCGTGTTTCAACTCGTTGCGAGTTATTCAGAATCCACCATCTATCTATTCATAAAATTCGACCGACACATCGTGTTGTAATAACACTTCTGTTCCTAATTAAATTAATGACATGATTTATGATGAGATAAACGCGATAGCTTATGTTTTAATTATGCCATAAAAATTATGCCATACGCAATGACACGAACCGGAACCATGTCATGTCATAAAGATGAGATGAGTTATAGTTGTAACATTTAAAAATAATTGGCTTCATTTTTTTTTTTTTTTTTTGGCTGCAAACAATAACTATATTCACAAAGTAATAGTCATACCGTGTTTATAGCAATACTATCATATTTAGAGGTTGATATTAGGTACTATTCGTCTGAAAAATACATTTTTAGACACCGTATTGTAAAGACTTTAAATTTGTATCTGAAACAATTCTAACCACATATTACACTGTGTGACATATAAAATAATTACACTATAAAAGTAGAGCTACAAATTGAAGACTCGGCTAAAAATAGAAGTATCGTCTTTTTGTAAGTTGACATCGCAAAAGAAATGATATAAGGGGTTTAAGGTCCTTCCTCACTCGCATTTTTTGAAATTTTCAGATTAAAATTCCTTGGAATCCCTTGATATTTGATATATAATGTCATTGGTAATGTTGCAGATAAAGACATGAGGATTATTTTGGTTGAAAATGTTAACCCTTAAACGAGTCATCAAAGCGGTCGTTTTGGTCCTTTTTCAAAATATTGTTAAAAACTCCCAAAAACCCACACAAAAGTCCACATTTTTTGAAAAGTTCCGATTAAGATCTCACAGAATTCAATAATTCTAGACGTATAGTGGCTTGGATAATGTTTCAAAAAATAATACGCGGATTATTTTAATCTACAAATATAAAACTCATGCGAGTCACCAAAGAAGTATTTTTGGTCCTTTTTCAAAATAGGGTTAAAAACACCCTTTTAATGAGGACGTAGCAAATCTAAATATTTCTCATAACTAAACTGCGGGACAAAACTCAACTTATTCAACAATTCGTGTAAACTCCAGCAGATTATGAAAGTAGAGCTAAAAATGGAATACTCGTGTATCGGCGTTTTGAACGTTTACATTGCAAAGTAACCTAAACAGAGAGGGGAAATTCCCCCTACTCCCATGGATTTCAGATACAGATTCCTCGGAATCCGAGCATTTTAGGTATATAGTATCTTCGGCAATATTGTACATAAAAATACGAGGATTAGTCTGGTAGATAATTTTAACCCCCGAGTCACCAAATTTTTTTTTTTTGGTATTTTTTCCAAAATATGGTTAAAAGCTGCATTTAAACAAGATCGTAACAATTCAAAATATTCCACAAAATTACACTGTGTGACAAAAGTCTTTTTTTAATAGTTACAGAGAAACTCCTGCAGATTATGAAAGTAGAGCTAGAAGTAAGAAACACGTGTATTGGCATTTTGAAAGTTTACATCGCGATGAAGGCAAACCAATAATTTTTGAAAAATTCGGATTAAAATTCCTTGATTATAAGCATATAATGTCTTTGGATATTTTTCAGAAAATAATACGAGGGTTATTTTATTAAATAATTTTAAACCTCAAGCGAGTCACCAAGACGGTCTTTTTGGTCCATTTTAAAAAAAAAATGGTAAAAAATCACCTTAAACAAGATCGTAGCAAGTCAAAATATTCTGAAAATTATTTATCATAAAATTCTACGATAGGTTGTAGAAGATGTCATAAGTCTAAAACGTATCTAAACGCCAGGAACTCATCTACATACATAAAAGAATAGTGAAATAACTGACTGACTGAGAATCAATATCCAGACGAATCGGCTGAAGCTCGAATCTTGAAACTTTGCATAAGGCTGGGTTTTTAGAAATTCGTACTAAAGGCCATAAAAAGTACCAAAATGTGCTAAAAATTTAATAATTTGTATTAGCCAAACGGAATGAACTAGAAATCTGAAATTTGGTATGAGGATCACTGGTGGAAATTTGGTATGAGAAACGAGGTTGGAAAGTAAGTTAGATATATGAAGGTGGTTTTGGAAACGAAAAGTACTGAATGGCACTATGTTTCGTATTGGGTGAAGGGATAGAGTATTAGCGTCTGTGTTTGAGATTTGGCGGTGGTTTAGAAATGTGTCCTATATATTTGTTCGGAAAGTGCTAAATTTGATATTGGGTGAAGGGAAAGGACTGGAATCCTCAAATTTGATATTGATATTGTCTGTTGGAAGATATGGAGGTGGTTTTGCAAATGTGTACAATAATTGTACGAAATGTACTAAATAGTACTGAATTTAGTATTGGGTGGAAGAAAAGAGGTAACATTTTGAAATTTGACAAAGATGTCACTGCTTATGTCTGTGGTAAAATATGGAAGTGGTCTTGGAAATTCTGAAGGAAACCAAAGACCTGAAATTCTGAAATTTGATATTAAGGCCACTGTTATGAGATATGTGTTGAGATATGTAGATTGTTTTGAAAAGCACGACCTATATAAAAGTATTACGTGGTACTAAATTGAGTATTAGGTGAAGGGATTAGTTGAAATCCCAAAATTTGGTATTGAGGCCTCTGTTGGTATCTTGTACTGAGATCTGGTAATGGTTTTGCAAATGCGTACTATAATTGCTCGAAAAGTTCTAAATAGTACTAATTTTGGATCACTGTTGCTTTCTAGGATGGAGAGATGTAGATTGTTTAGATGTGCGTAATAAATGTTACTAAATTTGGTATAGGGTGAGGGGTTAGGGCTGAAATTCAGAACTTTGATATTGAGGTCACTGTTGGTTTCTAGGGTTTTCATATGCAGAAATAGTTTTGGACAGAAATTATGGATGTGGGTCCATTGTGCAAAGGATTTTTACTAACATCCTCTCCGGTTAATTTCACAATGAAAGATTTTGAAAACTGCCACAGACACTTTACACCTACAATCAATGGATTCCAAGGAATCTTATTCCGAAAGTTAGGTAAATGTTGGAGACTGTAGAACTTGCTCACTCCATTTAGATTACTTTGGTTTGTAAACTTTCAAAGCGCCGATACACGAGTCTTCCATTTTTAGCACTACTTTCATAATCTGTTGGATTTTTCCTGTGATTATTGAAAAAATTGAATTTGGTTGCACAATGTTATAGCAAATCCTTGCAAATCCATAAATCTAACAGTACACAAGAAAAAGGTTTGATATTTATTCAATAAAAAAACACACAACCTCTACACCTTCATGTATCTACATATGTATTTAGCTGTTAGATATTAAATTGGAATGTACATTACAATATCAAGCAAACAATTAAAATTCTAATTAATTAGTAATTCAGACCACTTTTGTGTGGCGTTTTTTCTTTTCTACAATATTATTATTATCTAATATCAACAACAATTGGCGGACTATCAATAATCAATCGTTGTCTTTCTCCTTCTCTCTCTCTCTAGACTACCCGGCGTCGATGATGATGACGATGAAAGCTACATGGACATGTCGGATGATTCGAATAACTTGAAACCCCGTCAACAGCATTGGGCCAATAAAATGCAATTTGTCTTAGCCTGCATTGGTTATTCCGTCGGTCTGGGCAACGTTTGGCGTTTCCCCTATATGTGCTATAAAAGTGGTGGAGGTAAGTTGCTGCGCTCTCAGAAAAAATGCTGTTGGCACTTTTTTGCTTTATTTGTTATTTTGCGATAATGGAAAAGTGTGAAATTAGACAAAACGTTTTTTGATAGACTTTAAGTATTTAAATGCCGATTTCCCGTTTGCGTAACAGATGTAGGAAAAAAAATAACAGTTATTGTCGTACAATCTTACAAACAGATGACTATAATAAATACAAATTTGATTGTCTAGAATGATAAGTGTTATAATTATACGAGGGTTGTTTGAAAATGTTGAACGGACATAAGAATTAAAAAATAAAGAATTAGATTTTTTTGCCATAAAACGGACGTGGAAACATTTTTTTAATTTTTCAAACTTGGGATCGTGGTTTTGCTCGGCTAGTCAGAAGGTAATCCACCAACGATTCATTTCGATACGACACAATGGATGGATTTTGGTCATATAATAGGACAACAATACTTCTATCGATATAACTGTGTCTGATTTCTCCATCACCCCAAGATTACACTGTGCAACACAAACACACATCATTACAAGAAATACTCAGTAGATTATGAAAGCATAGCTAAAAGAAAAGACGCGTGTATCGACGGAAAAATACATATTTTTGAAATTTTTGGATGAGGACTCCATAGAATTCTTGCATTTAGTCTTCGACAACATTAAAAAACACTGTGCAACAACATTAATTCTTTTAATAAATAGAGAAAAACAAGTACATTATGAAAGTAAAGCTAAAAAGAGAAGACATGTACGGAAATAGCATCAAATTTTAGAATAATTTTAGATTTGTTTGAATTGGTCACCTTTGGCACGAAATGAAACAGTCACACGCTGCCTGAATGTTGCTGTAAGGTATTTTGGCCCATTCCCTGCTAGAGGTGATCGACACTTTGGTAATTTTTAGTGCAAACCTTGCTTTCCAAAATACTCCAGACACAATAGTCCAACGGATTGGTATCCGGAGATTTTGGTGGCCATTGTGCGCTGGAAATGAAGCGAGGAACCTCATTTTGTAACAATTCTTGGGTGGCGCGTACTGAGTGCGATGGTGCTGAGTCCTGTTGGAATGTCCAAGGTCAGCGGCGAAAATGTTTGCGTGCCCAAGGCTTTAATACACACTCCAGAATATTTTCGCGATAATATTCGGCATTTATTCTGATGCCGATTAATACGAGCGGAGAGCGACCATCGGCCGTTATGGCGGCCCACACCATCACCGAAGGTGCATATTTTCAGCTGACCTCTTTGGCAAGTAAACACGATTATTTCGTTTGTTTACAAACTGCTGGACAACGAACGTTTTCTCATCGGAGAAAACCAAATTCGGCAGTTCACCACTTTCGGCCAAGCGAAGTAACTCTTTAGCTCGTTTTAGTCTATTTTCTTTCTGTTGCGGTGTAAGTTCTTGCACTTTTTGGAATTTCAATGGCTTTACCCCGAGCTCATTTTTCAAGGAAGGGAATATTGCGATAAGTTCAGCTCACGAGCCATTTTCGGATCAAGTGGCTTCTTTACTTTACTTAACCACTTCTTCTGATGTTGCTATTTTCTTCCGTCCACTTCCTTGACGTCGGGCTACGCTACCAGTATCACGGTAACGAGCGATGGTACGAGACACAAAAGATTTATTCACATTTAAACGCTGGAGTGCTCTAACGATAGCCACAGGTGGTTTTTCAACCAAATATAAAGAAATCACACTATCACGCTTGAATTCGATCACGAATAACTTTTTATCTGGAAAATTCTCACCACAATGCTTTTGTACGCTTGTAAACATTATAATGAGCTGTCGCTGGAATATTTTAACAGCTGTCGGTTAGTGGCTTTGAAATGACAGTAGTCTGAAGTTGGCTGCAGTTTTTCATCTAACCCTGTATATTCATGATCAGCGAAAAAATCTAAGTCGAACGAATTGAAATAAAAGGCCAAAATTTTGTATTTTTCCCGTAGGCAATATAAGTTCGTAAATGAGTCATATCGGTCCATGTTTTCCGTATAGCACCCATATAACGGTGCCTCCCGATATTCGGTATTTTCATGATCTAAGCGACATTGTTCACCGAAATTGTTTCAAATGTCGTATTCAAAGTCTTTGTCAACAAAATTCGTACGCAATTCCACGTCTACGTATAGCCCCCATATAACTGTACCTCTCTTTATTCGGTATTTTTATGATTTAAGCAATATTATTCATCAGAATTTTTTAAAATTTCGTATTCGAAGATCTTAACATGTACTATAATCTGTAACAAAAAATTACATATGAAGTCTCAAGTTCTCGCATAGCCCCAATATAACGGTTTTCATTTAAGAGGTATTTTTTGAGTTTTTTGAAATTTTGCAAGTTCCTTCCAAATTGTGGAGGGTATTAAAAGTTCGGCTGTTTTTTATACCCTCCACCATTCTATGGAGGGTACATTAACTTTGTCATTCCGTTTGTAACTCCTAGAAATATTTATAATGGACTCTGCAAAGTATATATATTCTGGATCCGCGTAAAATTCTAAGATGATATAGCGATGTCCGTCTGTCTGTCTGTTGTAATCACGCTATCTTTCGAACGAATTGAGATATATGGCTAAAATTTTGCATAAATGCATTGTTTACCACTAGGCAGTATAAATTCGTAAATGGGCCATTTCAGTCCACGTTTTCGTATAGCGATACCTCCCGATATTCGGTATTTTCATGATTTACTTATCAGAATTATTTCAAATTTCACATTTAAAGTTCGTAATGGGTACTACAGTCTATGACAAAAATTTTTGTATGCAGGTCCATGTCTTCTTATGGCCCCATATAACGGTAGCACCCGTTATTCGGTATTTTGATGCTTTCAACGACATTATTCACTAAATCGTTTAAAATTTCGTATTGGGAGATCTTAATGGTTACTACAGCCTATGGAAAAAAATTCGTTTGCAGGTTCACGTCTTCATATAACCCCTATATAACGGTACATCCCGATATTCGGTAGTGGATGGAGTTAAAAAAAAAGTAGTGGAGGGAATTAAAAGTTTGGTCCGGCCAAACTTAGCTGCTGTTTTACTTGTTTTTATTTACAATAGAAGAAGATATTTATTTTATTTGGTGTAAAATTCGATGATGTAATAATTTTGTAGAATAATTGGAATTTCTACTAACCCGTTTAAAGAGTTTTTTGACCATATTTTAAAAAAGGGTCCAAAAAGACAGGCGTTTTGCCCATATTTTAAATAAATGACCAAAAAGACTCCTTTGTTACCTGGCTTGAATGTTAAATATTACCGAAGGCACTATATACCTAAAATGCATGGATTCTGAGAAATCTCAATCCAAAGGAGAGAAGGGAAATTAGACCTTCTAACGCCGATACATGTGTCTTCTTTCTTAAGCTTTACTATCATAATCTGCAGGATTTTCCCCGTAATTATTAAAAAAATCTAATTTTTTCGCACAGTGTAATCAACTGAGTAATTTTGAAAAAAAAAAATAGATTTTGTTCATAGTGTTATTATTCTGCAGAATCATTACTAAAAGATGTTCAGATATTGGTCCAAAGGTCCATAGAAACCTTTTCTTTAAAAACTCCAGGTTTTGTCTGCAAAATATTCTAAAAACAACAACGAGAATCAATCTGACTGAAAGTCAGACTTAATGTCTATTAAACAATCTCCATTTTTGGTCTAAAAGTTTTTTAAGAAATATTTCACGATTATTGGTCTGAATTTCCATTGAAAAATGTTCTTAAAAAATCCATAATTTTTAATCTGAAAGTCCATAATTGTATTTTCCAAGCCACTCCATATCCACCTCGTGCACATTACATGCCATGGGTAAAACTAATTATTTAAGTAAAAACATACCATCTTTGCAAACTGCAAAATTCATTCAAAACATATTTTTTCACAATTTATCTTGAAGAAGATTATTCCCATTCACAGTATCCGGTGCGACATAATGTGCTAAACAAACATTTACATTGTATATGATTCTAAGTAATATGTTGGACCTGAATATATCTCATCAGAAACAAACAAAAACCTTTCTTTGTCTCCGACACACACTTGCCCACAAAAGTGTGGCATGAGCAAACAAACGAACATAAAAATTATGTGTTAAATAAAATCTTGTCAAAAAATTTATTTATTTATTCAAAAGATTGTAAACTACCATCAGTTTGTATTTACAATTAACATCGAGCGAGCGAGAGAGACAGTTATTATTTGTAGCGTGATATTTATATGACATCCAATGTCGGAGTAATTGTTAAAATAAATAGCCGTCTGTCATTTCATGCGCTATTTATGAGCAAACGTTGTCACCTTAAAAATATGTGTGATATTCTATTGATGAGCATGAACCGAAAATATATTTTAAAATTAAATAAATATTTACACATAAAAATATATCTTTAAAAGAATAAAAACAAATTCACACCAAATTCAAATACAAAAACGTGTTAATCTGCTTTAAAAAGTAAAAATCCAAAATCGCTTTGTACTGCATTGTAGAGGCTATTTTCTTTTTTTCAGAGACTCACAATGAAATTTGATCTAGAATAATTCTTACTTAGGCACTTGAAGGGAGATTTTAACCCGGCAAAAAAATGAAGGGAGATTTTAACCCGGATTGGGTACGTGTTAAATTAACGGTAAAACCAGTAAGGAAAGGTCCAAAGTCGGGCGGGCCGACTATATGATACCCTACACCACTATGCGTATTTAATAGAGCTCCCGCAACAAAATAGTTTATATTGGGAATTTATATGAAGTAGATCATACCAACTCTAAAACAAATAACATTGCTGTATAGTGCATGATATGGCCGATATTTATTGGAGCAAAATAGATATACCGGACCGAGTTTCACCAAATGGTAAAATTCAGTTGGATATAAACAAATCTTTTTAATATCGGCCATTAGATACTGCTCGATAAATTTGGCATAGGTATTTTCGAGCAGTATCTAATGGCCGGTATTAAATATCATTGTTGTGAAGTGCATATTACGCATGTGAGGGACTTAAAACCCCAAATCGGATGAAATATATGTATGAGAACTAAAGCTATATCTGAACCGATTTTCAACAAATTTGAAGTACTTGTTTCTAAGATTAATTCCGTCCGAAGTGCCGGAATTTGGACTGATATGAGCCATTTGATGGACAAAAAACTAAAATCGGATAAATATATATATGGGAGCTATATCCAAATCTGAACCGATCTTGACAAAATTTTAAACACTTATTTCTGAGCTGTATCTGATATCTGGTATTAAAGATTATTATTGTGGAGTGCATATTATGAATGTGAGCGACTTAAAACTACTAATTGGAGGAAACTATATGTGAACCTATTTTCTCCAAACTCGATATATTTTCTTCTGGACTGAAATCGTTCAAAATTCAAGTCATTTGGACTGATATTAGCCATTTGGTGTACAATTAACCTGAAATCGGCTGAAGAGATAAGTGGGAGCTATATATAAATTTGGACCGATTTTCACCAATTTCAATAGGGTTCGTCCTTGGGCCAAACAAATATTGTTTGCAAAATTTCATCGGATAATAAATGCGCCTTGCATTTTGTTCACAAAACTACATCCTCAAAAGTAACTATGGGTCTATCTCGCTTCCTTCTCCATGTTACAACCATTTAAACCTAAAATGTGTTTCCTGGCGTTTAGATAAGATTTAGACTTTTGAGTTCTTCTGGAACCTATAGCAGAATTTTATGATCAACAACTTTGACTTCCTACGATCTCGTTAAAAGCAAGATTTTAACCATATTTTAAAAGGACCAAAAATACCCATTCCCTGTCCCCCTTAAGGGTTAAAAAAATCTCGTATTTTTATACCCTCCACCATAGTATGGAGAGGGTATATTAAGCAAAGACCTAAAATGGTAAAGACTGGACAAAATGCATTATGGAAAAATAGTTAATGTGAAAAATATATAGAGGCGCTGCTCACATGTTAGCATAAAAATTATATTTACAGAGCAATTTTAAGAATAACATTTTCTGTAAACCAAAAATTTGGACTAAAAATTGCATTCATTGACGTTTTCAATTAATTGGAATTTGCATTTGCTGTTAAATTCCTTTAACATTGGTGAGTATGTTGTTATGATATCGTAACAACAGAGGTATTTACACCTGGTGACAATATTTTGACTCTGTCTTGTCCCATCTTTATACTTCTATGTCTTTGTATTAAGTTTGTCATTCCGTTTGTAACACCTCGAAATATACATTTTAGACCCCACAAAGTATATATATTCTTGATCAGCATAAAATTCTATGTCGATTTATCAATGTCCGTCCGTCTGTCCGTCTATCCGTCTGTCCGTCTGTGGAAATCACTCTAGCTTCCGAACGAAATGAATTAGGTTGATAAAATTTTACTCAAATGTGTACTATGTCTGCAGGACTTTTGGTATTGAAAATGGGCCATATAGGTCCACGTCTTCGGATAGCTCACATATAACTGTACCTCCCGATATTCGGTATTTTGATGATTTTAGCTACATTATTTACCGGAATTGTTTCAAATTTGGTATTTAAAGTTTTTAATAGATACTACAGCATAAAACAGAAAATGGGCAATGTAGGTTCACGTCTTCGTATAGCCCCCATGTAACGGTACCCCCCGATATTCGGTATTTTGATCATTTTAGCCACATTATTTACCGGAATTGTTTCAATTTTGGTATTTGAAGTTCGTAATGGATACTACATCCTAAGACAGAAAATAAGCCATGTAGGTCTACGTCTTCGTATAGCCCCCATATAACGGTACCCCCCAATATTCAGTATTTTGATGATTTTAGCGACATTATTTACCGGAACTATTTCAAATTTAGTATTTGAAGTTCGTAATGGATGCTACAGCCTATCACAGAAAATTGTCTGTGCAGGACTACGCCTTCGTATAGCCCCCATATAACGGTACCACCGATCTTCGGTATTTTCATGATTTTAGCGAACTTATTTACCGGAATTGTTTCAAATTTCGCATTTGAAGTTCGTAATGAATACTACAGCCTATGACAGAAAATTGTCTGTGCAGGTCCACGTCTTCGTATAGCCCCCATATAACGGTACACCCCGATATTCGGTATTTTGATGATTTTAGCGACATTATTTATCGGAATTGTTTCAAATTTCGCATTTGAAGTTCGTGAAGTTCGATATAACAGCCTATGACAAAAAATTTTGTGTGCAGATGCACGTTTTATAACCACCATGGTACCTCCCTATATTCGACGATTTTAGCAGATTTTTTTCAATTTTCGCATTTGAATATTGTGATATAAGTTGCCTTGTGACAAAAGTTGCCCATGCAGGTCCATGTCGCCATATAGACTCTAATATACGGCTACACGATTTTAACAGAATTTTAAAATCCTTTTTTTTTTTTTTTTTTTTTTGAAAATTGTTGAATTCGTACCAAATGGTGGAGGGTATTCAAAGTTCGGCCTGGCCGAACTTACAGCTTTTTTACTTGTTATCTGTAATATTACCGAAGACACTGTATACCTAAAATGCACGGATTCCGAGGAATCTTAATTCGAAAATTTAGGTAATTGTTTTGGAATTTAATTTTTTTAGACATGACACTTTTTTAGAAATTAACGATATATGGTTGACCAAAATTTATTATCTCGTCTTATTGAAATATATGCATAGTTATTATATTTATTAATAAATATTTCCCATTGTTTTCTTTTCTTGCAGGCGTATTTCTGGTACCTTATTGTATTATTTTAATTATCTGCAGTATACCGCTATTATTTATGGAACTATCCGTGGGACAATATACAGGCAGAGGGCCAATTGGAGCATTAGGACAATTATGTCCCCTGTTTAAGGGTAAGTTGATTTAAAAACTTTATTTTTTCATATTAGATCTTTCTTGTGACCCAAAAAAACTGTACCAAATGTTGCAAGTTCTTACTGGAAGTCATCTGCCACCTCTTTACCCCCTCTGTCCTCTCTGCACATCACTCATTTTCGATTTTAATATTTCACTTTTCAAAAGCAATTTTGAAAGTTAAGTTACAGATAATTCTCATTGCGAAATTTTCTCAGTTTTGGCACTACTTTCGTAACAAGTTAAAAATGTACTCGTAACCCATTCATTGTTCGAAACAGCTGTTTTCTTGCTAGATTTCACTGAATTATCTTTGTTGATTTTTCCAAAAAGGCTGAGTAAATATTACTACAGGGTGAGATGAAAAAACTGCAACCAACTTCAGACTGCTGTCATTTATAAGCCACTAGTCCGACAGCTGTTAAAATTAATCCACTGACAGCTCATTGTATTGTTTACAAGCGTACAAAAGGATTTTGGTGAGAATTTTCTTTTTATTTGGCTGGAAAACCACAAGTGGCTATGGTTGGACGGAAGAAAACAGCAACATCAGCAGAAATGGTTCGAAAAGTAAAGAAGCGACTTGATCGAAGCCCGTGTCGCAGTGGCGGAAAAATGACTCGTGAGTTGAACATATCGCAATATTCTATTCGGCAAGTATTGAAAAATGAGCTTGTGATAAAGCCATTGAAATTCCAAAAAGTGCAAGAACTTATACAGCAACAAACAAGAAAATAGACTCAAAAGAGCTAAAGAGTTGCTTCGCTTGGCCGAAAGTGGTGAACTGCCGAATTTGGTTTTCTCCAATAAGAAAACATTTGTTGTTCAGCAGTTTGTAAACAAACAAAACGATCGTATTTACTTGCAAAAGAGGTCAGCTGAAAATGTGCACCTTCGGTTGGCCACCAGAACTCAAGCGCCGGCCATGGTGATGGTGTGGGCCGCCATAACAGCCGATGATCGCTCTCCGCTTGTATTAGTCGACCGTGACATCAGAATAAATGCCGAATACTATCGCGAAAATATTCTGGAGGGTGTATTAAAGCCTTGGGGAAGCAAAAATTTAGGCCGCAGACCTTGAACATTCCAACATGACTCAGCACCATCGCACTCAGCACGCGCCACCCAAGAATGGTTCAAAATTAGGTTCCTCGCTTCATTTCCAGCGCACAATGGCCACCAAAATCTCCGGATACCAATCCGTTGGACTATTGTGTCTGGCGTATTTTGAAAAGCAAGGTTGGCACTAAAAATACCAAAGTGTCGATCAACTCAAACAAGCGCTTCGCCGGGAATGAGCCAAAATACCACAGAGCAACATTCGGGCAGCGTGTGACGGTTTCGTTAGCCATTTGAAGGCAAAAATTCGTGCCAAATTATGGGTTTGACTTTGTTGCAGCTATTTTATCTCACCCTGTAGATGCATCAGATATGTAAGATCAGCCGAATATGTATATGAGAGCTATATCCAAATATGAAGCGATTTCAATATAATTTGGCAAATTTATTTTTGTTTCAAATTCGGTAACGTAGATATGTGCATACAAAATCTAATTTTTCGGGAGGTACCTCCAAATCTGATGCTATATCTCCAGTTCCAAATGGAATTTCAAGAATTGATATAGCCTATGTTACTTTCAGACGATGTTGTAGTATACTTGGAAATGTTCAGAAAAATCTTTTCAACGGTTTTTGAGTCCATAAATTACAAACAAACATTTTCCCCTTTTACAGATTTAGATACACATGTATGTATGTTTGTATGTATGCACGTTCAAAATTTGAACAAAGAGCCAGACAATGAATCACTTCTCCTACCATAACTTATACGAATTTCCTATTTAAATTTCCATTTGCGTTAATATATATTTGTGTGTAGCTTCTTTTGCAATTACCATTTATGATTGTAACTTATATTTTACACTTAATTAGTAGCGGAAAATTAGCAACGACGACGACGACTACGACAATGATAATTAGTCTAGACAAGTGATCTTCAGTTTGTATTTCATATTTGATATGCACGGCTATAATTTATAATATATATAAATATATAATATTTTACAAACACAAGCTGTCATGTCTGTGCGCATGTAATTTATACAATTTAAATCATAATTAGTACTACCGATGATCACTACGCGAATGCAATTGAAATTACGTTTGTATAACAGATTCCCACTTACATATGAGGGCGGTATTTCAGACGAAGGAGTGTTCCAACTGACAGATACTAATTTGCAAAGAACAAAAATGAACTTTTGAATATTTATAAATTATCTCACACGTCTTATACAATTGCCCAAAGAAGGCTAAGAATATTTAATCATTTAATGTTTTATTTTATTTTTATTTAATTGAATGATTAAACGTTGGTCACAGTGGTCCGAAATCAAGAAATATACGATAAAAATGGAGAATTTTATGGTTAGAAAATATTTTACATATATTTTACAGACAAATAACTTTTTATAGGTCTTCGGTAGAAGAAGGCCATATGTAACCTGTTGTTGTGGAACTGTGTGCTGAAAACTGCCTACAATTCTTCTGAATACAGAAGATTTTTAGGGTTACTGTATGTAAAAGAGATCATCTAAACATAAGTAAATTTTACAGATGCTCTATAAATAAAACGCATTTAATTATTATTCTTTTGTTATAATACATCTTATAGGCCTTCTATGGGAAGAAGTATGTTTAAAGGTTTTCTATAACAATTTAAAAAGTATCAGTCGGTTTTTGCGACGGATGTATACCCTCAGCTATTGTCCGTTGATTTAAAGATATTTTGGCATCCGTATTTATTATTCCTTATAAATAAAATAAAAAGGTTTGAATAGAATCGCTGACTTGTTTCGCAAGCAATGAAATATTTAAGTATTTAAAATTGTGATCAATTGTGGGGGCTGTACCACAAGGGGTAGGCCGATATCTACCATCTTCATACCATATCTTATGGTTGTAGAAATATTGAGATGTATTAAGTTTGAAAAGAATAGGACGCTTATTTCGCATTTTTACAGCTTTTTGCAATTAAAAACTTGATCCCTCTGTGGAGGGAGAGGTACCAGGAGGAGTTGATCGATACATCTCTTCTTCACATCAGATCTTGCGTTAATAGAAATATTGGGATATGTGAAAAAAGAAGAGAATCGGATGCTTATTTCACATTTTATGAAAGATACAGTTATTCCAAATTTTGACCCGTTATGGGGTATGTAGCAGAAGGTGTGGTCCGATCTCTACCATCCATATAACAGATCATGTGTTGTTGGGAATATTGAAACGGACCAAGTCTGAATGGAATCAAATGTTAATTTCGTGATTTATGAGCTTCATGGATATTTAAAATTTTGACCCTTTATGGGGGAGATACCAGAAGGAGTGGACCGGTATAACCCATCTTCACAGCAGAATTTGTCTTAGTAGAAATAATGGGATGTGTGAAATATGAAGAGAACCGGATGCTTATTTCGGATTTTATAATCGTTTTGGTTATTCAAAACTCCCTTTGTAGGGGAGGTTCCAGAAGGAATGGTCCGATCTTTACAATCTTTATAACAGATCTAGTGTTGATGGAAATATTGAGATGTGCCAAGTCCGAATGGAATCGGATGTTAATTTCGTGTTGTATGAGCTTCATGGATATTCAAAATGTTGACCCTTTGTGGGGGAGATACCAGAAAGAGAGGAAAGAGTGGATATATTCCATCTTCACCCAGACCTTGGATTAGTAAAAATATTGTGATGTGTATAATTTGAAGACTCCTACATCACATTTTATAAGAGTCATAATTATTCAAAATTTTGACCCTTTCGTGGTGGATGTACTTGATCGATTGGACCGATGTTGTCCATTCTAGGTCAGGGGCGAAAATGAACAATATCGGTCCAATCGATCAAGTACCTGCACTGATGGATTATCCTTCCTCTTTCTGTGCAGTAAAATGTTATTTTTTTTAATATTTCAGCTAGAAGGAGGGGACCGATATTACCTATCTCCGAACTCGATCTAAGTTTGATAATAATATTACGATGTACCAAGTTTGGACCAAATATGACCTTCGAGAGTTATCGTAGGCAACAGCCAGCCAAACGGACGGACGGACAGACATTGCTACGAAACGGATTTGGTCCAAAGAAACCTAGGGACTAAAACCGTTATTTCGACGAGGCTCGTTTTGGCCATATCAAATGATATATACCCTCTCTAGGGTATAAACAACTGAAAACATATAATTACATCACTTTACCTTCTTTATTCTACCATGAATACAACTTTTAAAGAATCTTCTGTATAGACGTGTACGCATGGAATATAAGTGTTCCAGGCGTAGGAGAACTATGAACGGACTTCTTAAAGTTTTTTTCGAACAAAAATTGAAAATATGTTTTCCCCAGGTAAAATACTTTTAAAGGAGTTCTTAATACAGCACCCTTTATAGGTTTTTTATGGATACATTGAATGTTGTTCGTTGGATGTCATTTTAAACTTAAAATCCCATCTTTAACTTCCTATCAATATTCTATATTTAAACTATTATAGATAATTTTGAAAACTTAAAAATTGTTGTTATTGTTAAATTTCATAATATATTTGAAAAAAAAAAAAAAACGCTCACACACCTCCACTCTCTACTGCAATATGCATATTTATTTCCTGGTTCATTGTAAATTTAAATATTGTTTCTATGTACACGGCTATCATTCCACTTTTAACAGCGTTCTCCAAATACCACCGACTTGTGTTACAGTTTGCTAATTAGCATATACTTGAAAGAATTGTGTTCAATACTATAAATTAAATATGCAGAGAAAATAAAATATACTCACACACATACCTACAATACGGAGGTTGTTTTGAAAGTTTCGTTGGGGGCAAGAATACAAACGATTTGAATTGAACTTTCCTGCGGTAAAATAAATTGGTTTATCTGGTTACTTTTCGATTTATTTCCATCACGCAATTTAATCATTTAATATTTAATCATTTAATGTT